AGCCGGTTGAAATGTGCAATCCTCGCCACTAGATGGCCCTAAATCTCCCTTTATCTTACACACTGTTCCTTTAAATCATCTTGCATGACCTTTGACCCACTATGAGTTGTTTTCTTCTTATTTGTGATCCACTGACCAAAACCAATGGAAGTTGCCTGACGCAGGATGACCCACCTCACAGAGCAGTTTACTGGTGTTACTGACCCAGCAGCAGTACGGGAACCTCTTTAACTGGTTTGACCAGTGAGTTCCCAGACCTGATGGAATCTGTGAAGGCTTTCAAGCCCTCCTCCTCCTCCTGAGCTAAACAAACAAATAAAAAAATCTGGCTGCACAGCATGGGAGCTGACAGGGGTAATGTATGGCACTGGGAGAGGCGCATGATGCTTTGCTGCACTTTGTTGCAAAATCTCAAGTGGGAAGCAATGAGTATGTTTGAAGTGTGTGTGTGTGTGTGTGTGTGTGAATCAGGTCTGTTAAAATACTGCTCGCATCCTGGGCCTCCAGGACATGTTTACATACACTGTTATGTCATACGCCTGTCCTTCACAGGACATCATGTTACAGTATGTGCGGTGGCCGCTGGTTCCCAGAATCTGTAGTGACAAAAATATAAAGAACTATATTTATATTATTAACAACAAAGCAAAAATCAACAAGCCAACTCAGCTTTCACTACCATGTTGGTCCAGACTGAAATAACTCGACATCTATTGGATTGACTGCTATTTCTTTTTAAACATTCATGGACCCCAGAGGATGAGTCCAACTGACACTGGTGATCCCCTCAGGGCCCTGACACACACACACTGATTCAGCATTTTGATTTGGTGCTGAGGATGGCAGAGCCCGTGTGTGAATGAAACCATTCTGCTTGGCAGTTCAGTTTAGCGCATGAGAAGAGAAACAGAGGTGAGGAAAGGAAACAAACTAAGTCAAGAAGACGTGAGATCAAAACACACTTGTTATATCCCTCTGAGACTCCAACTTTTGTTTGGTATGCATTTTTAATTTCTCCTAGCTATTTGGGATCGGATGGATCTGATAAGTTTAAGAAACTAAACACTGTCAACGATAATAAAGTCCCAAAGTCTTCAAACAATAACTTGTTACTGTTGCTAAAATTAGTCACATTCAAATTACAAACATTATTAATCATAAATAAACAAGTTTTAACCAGAAAATGAGATCAGTTTTTTTTTTTTACCTTGTCCACTTTTGTGTTGGGATCAACTGCAAACTGACTTGGCAGAGATGGTCCGCTGGTGAAATGGTGCCACAATATGCAACTGAGGGCTGAAATGCTAACAAATAACTGTAGCTCGCTAAAAAACGTAAATTTCAGTAAGTCAAAGGATTATTTTAACACCTTATGTCTACCAGAGAGGAAAAGTTACACTGACCAACTCAATGTTGTCAGCCTTTTTCAATATCCCTTCTCCTTACAGTACTTATCTTGGAGGAATGATGACACTTAAGGGTCATGTGACATACTCTGATATTTACAGCTTTCTGGGCGAATTAGCTAAATGCTTGATGCCCACGATATACCAAGTATCAGGATCAGTTTTCCCCATTCTCCCTGCTGATGCCTCATATCTGCACAAACTTTCTGTCCTCTTAAAAGCTCAGTTATTCAGTTCTACAGCTTATAAAAACTCTGACTTTTAATACTATCCAGCCCCCCATACTGAGAGACCGGTTGGAAGGGATGGGAGTAGACCGCTTCCTGACCTCCTGGATAACAGACTACCTGACAGAGTGATCTCAGTATGTCAGGCTTGGAAGCTGTGTCTCTGGGATGGTCAGGAGCAGCTCTGGTGCTCCGCAGGGAACTGTTTTGGCACCGTTCCTGTTCACACTCAACACAGCAGACTTTAAGTACAACTCAGAGTCCTGCCACATACGCTCTGTCTCAATATTAGGCAAGATTATTTTAGCCATTGGGCTCTTTAGCCAGAAACAGTTCATACCTGCCTGTGTTATTTTCCACTTGCGCACGGTAATATCATTTGTTGTTTATGTACTAATTGGCTAACTAGCGTCTTGAATCAGTCCTGTTGGTCCTCTGATTCCCTTATTTAAAGATGAATACAGACTGCCTGCTGCTATAGAGAGTTATCTCCTCTCATACAGGCACTGAATGTATGTGCTAACTTCTGAGTGAATGTCTGAACTATTGGATGCATTGTGATGAAATCTGGTGCAGACATTCATGTCCTCCTCAGGATGAGTTGTAATAAATTTGTGAATCCTCTCACTTTTCATGACACCATCAGAGTTTTGTCTAATAACACTAATGACATTCCAGTCAGCCTCAGCTGAACATTGTGTGTGCTAATTCCCACGTTAGCATGACAAACAAAAATGATAAACTTTACACGTTAGCATGACTTCTGACTTAGGCCTTGTCAGGAAGACACATGATATAAAAGGCACATAGGGGAAGCATAAAAAATGTCATTAAGTGAAATCATAAGCATTGCTGGGGCTGACAAAGACAAGTTTGATAACTAAATAATGTGTTTGTGTAGCGTTAGAAAGAAGTGAGCTTACCAGACGTCTGCTTGTGGCTAGCAGCCGCAGGCTAAATTAGCTGCCACAAGTATAACCTGCCTGAATCTGACCAAACTGCTGGTGGTGGAGTTGCATTATGGGTAATTTAGGGACCAGGTTTTAACAAAAAATGCATGGAATAAAAAAACATATCAGTGGCTCTACTGCATTAATTTTGATCCTTTTGTTTTAAGCATGAGTCTGACAATCTTACGTAACTGCAGTGCTAAATAGTATGAGCACTCCTTAAACATTTATGACTGTAATTGTCCAAGATACTGGCAAAGCAAAGAGCATCAGTGCAAGTTTTAGGTCTGAAAATAATTACTGGATGTATAATAAAGATTAAAACATCATGCCGTCAGTAACCAGTTTTGTAATGGACTCCATGACGCCGTGAGAGTGCCAGCCTGTAACCAGTGAGCCCCTGATGGTGCCTCTAGTGAGTGGACTTCAGCCTTCAGTCCCTCCACTCCATTTTAAGAGTAGGCTCCTGGTTAAACGCATGTGGTAGCAATTTTGGGGCTGATAATCCCCCACCCTCCTCTGCCCCGTGGGTCTAAGTAGAAGCCCCCTTTCCCGCACACCCCACCTAGTCTGCCCCCTCGTAAAGTTGTGCCCATTGAGGCACTGCAAAACCTCTCGTTGCCATATAAAAGAGCTGACAAACTGTGGCAGTAAACAATTTTGTTTATGGCGAAACCTCTGTAAACACAGCTCTATTTCCTAAAGCTGCTGAGTGTAATCAGGAGGATGACATAGAAGCAGCTGGAATTAATCGACACCAACTTACTGACCATTATAATCAAGCACAGAACCTTTTATAAAAATGTGACCAAAGGCAAAGTTAAAAATGGAGTCTGGAAAATAAAGACTGTTGATGTCTGAACTCCCGTCAGTGCTCCTTCAGAAGCCTCAGTAATATCTCCAATGTTACGAAAGTTTCAGCATAGTGCAGTGTGTCCAAATCTGATTTTTTTTTCTCTCTTGTGTGGACACAGAAATCCATTTTTTTCCCAATCAGATTGGGCCGCTTTCTTTTATGGTCTTAAATCTGATACATACCTATCCGATCTCTGGTCACGCGACCAACAATCACATTGGAAGTCGTGTGTGTTTATTACATACAGCCATGGTTTCCCAGGTCATACTTCAGTGCACAGGCTCAGATCAGTCGTCATGAGCTATCTGTTGGAACTACTGAAGTCTGCCGGATCCGCATCACTGCTGCGGATGGCTTCCTCAGTCACCAGCAGAAACAGCCCGACTGCCAGGCGCTTTCTGACGGGGACGGCTTGCCTACATGACCTGGCAGTCATGCGGCACTTACTAAGGGCACATTCACACCAGGATAGTCCGGGGGACTCGGTTCGACTGGGTGGGGAACATTTGGTTTGGTTCACTTTCACATTGCACTTTTCATAGTGGACCAAACCGCCTGGACAACATCATGCAGTTACAACAGCTGCTCATTTGGGGGCAGTATTGCTCAAAACGACCACTGACCAGGAAGGGAAAAAGCATGAGGAAGAATAAAACCCGGCTCATTGATTGGCCAGGACCGAAAACAGAAATCAATCCCCTTCAGCCAGCTTGGTCACCAAAAAAAAACACTGCGCTGCGCTCTATGTCACGTCCTCTCTTTGGGTAGTCTGTTTGCTTTTCCAATGTAAACAAATCACGCTAGGGTTCACTTGCAAGTGAACCAAGACCAGAGTTCACTCATTTGGTCTGCACCAGAGTTCGAATGAGCGTGTACACCACTCAAAACGAATCAAACTATCCTCAGAAGCGGACCAGGGTTGGTTTTAAGCGGACCAAATAGCGCCAGTGTGAATGCATCCTAAGATACTAGAATGTACTCTGAGACAGTTTTAGAGGAAGTTTTTTATGAAGCCCTCCACATTGCAGCTCCACCATGCCTGACTCCTCCCACAACCACAGAGCAAGTAGCAACAGCTGCAGATAGAGCTAGTGGACTGAAAGCCAGTTTGTAAGCCAGCATCTTATCCTTGAAGCAAACTGCCATTTCTCCCAAAAATACCCTTCACACTCTCTCAAATATAAGCAATTATGATGCAGAATGACATCATCGGACCTTCCTACTATGGTGATCAATCAGGAGATGAACGCTTTCTGTTGCTCGAGCCTGCATGTGAGGCATTTCAGGGGAGAGATCTGTTCACGCTGATGTCTTTTCCGGGTTATTTCAAACATAAACATCATCCGTTTTGGCAGAAATATCAGATCTGGAACAAAAAGGTGGAATTTAGCTTTAAGCCCTGTAATGTGAAGATAGCATTTCTGTTTCCAAATCACAGTCTGAACATCAGATTATATTTCAGCACGAACAGAATCAACAAGTCAATCAAAAAGTTTCGTACACACCAGGAGTTGAGGGACCAGTACAGAATTACTCTTAAGGTAAAGACGAGAGCAAATGATTTCATTTTTAAGATTTTATTAAAATACGGTGTGGAGTTTACCATCGGAAGTTACCATCACAAACATGATTGTTTCTAATAAAAAAGTAAACAAAACAAAAATAAAGCTTAAGAGCCTAGTTACAGGAGATTTTTTTTTTTTTGTTTTTGTTTTTTTTGTTTGTTTTTGCAGTCTGGTGAAAGAAAAAAATTCACAATGAGAGTGAGTGGAAAAAAAAAATGTTCACATGTTGTAAAAATACATTTCCCAATTTTAACATTACACACAGTCACTTTCAAACATTCATTCATTCATTCCTTGTTAGATGGTTAGATGTCAGTGCCAAAAGAAAGCGAAACAGGGGGAAAAAAAAAAAAAAAAAAGTTCAGACCTGTGCACAAAAGGGGGAACGAGGGGAGAGCGGTTTCTAAAAACGCAGGAGGCTGTTCTACATTGTGAGGGTGGAAAACTTGGGACGAGGGACACGAGACAGAGGGCGACTGCTAGAGGATATGTGTGCATTTGAACCCTGAGAGAGAAGAAGTGATCAATTCTCACCGTAATTTTCTGCTTCTTTTTTTTTTTTCTTTTTCTTTTTTTTGACAGACCACACCAGTGTCCACTATGCCCTCCCCCACCCAGCCCCACTGGGGCTCTGGCAGCAGTGTCAAAGACGCTTTAAGAGCCTCCGAGTGGCGTTGGTGGTGGTGGTGGGTGGGGTGGGGTGGGGTGGGGGGGCATTCTCACACCCAAGAGTGAAATATCAGCTGTGGCTTTGTGAGCATACACACTGTGCTTATCCGTTAGCCTACGCACGTACACACTGCCGGGCTGACTTGAACTATCCAAAGTTAGAAAAGAAAAACATCTTATTAATAATGCACAGTAAGAATTCACACTGGATTTATGCGTTTAAGCCCAAAACAAACTCTCTATGCGAGGCTAAATGTGGTTCATCAGTGAAAAAGAAATGCAACGTGCTGCGGATTTAGGCCTGTCGGGGTGTGAGGAGCTTTCTGCGGAGCGGCCTGTTTTTTTTTTCCACTGGATGTGTCTCCTGACTTCACCTGCTGGGGTCAACTGTATTAAGGCAGTGAGTGGTTCCATGGCGACTTTCTATAACAGCTATTTTTTACAGGGAGAGAATAAGTAAGGCCCAGAGGAGATCAGCTGGAAAAGACAGTTGGGATAAGACGAATTTAAGAAGAAGAAAAAAAAAAAAAACACCAGGAGAGGGATCTCGTTTTTTCTCCGAAATGTTTCAGTACAACATGTAGAACACAGACAGCATATTCATAAAAATGAAATCCTACAATAAAACAGAATGGTTTTCATAACAGTGCACTGCTGAACTGAAAAATATATATATAATCATCATCATCAACAGCAAAATTTAAGATTACTATTATGCTCATAATCCGAACTATGGGGGTTATTTTTAAAAAATATATACTCATCACATGACAGAGGAGCCTAGCATCTCAGGACACAGACATGCTCCATGTCTCTCATAGACTCTGAGGGAAAACTGTACATCACTGGAAACTGACCACGACAAAAATGGCAACTCGGGTTGAAAACACTCTGAGGGGCGGGAAAGGCCGGGGAGCAGAGAGAAACAGCAAGATGACACAAATTCTTTAAGCCAATAGTATTTCCCCTAAAAAATTACCTCACATGCACTATAGATAGAGCAGCCTGACAATGAGGGGAGGGGAGGGGGGTGTTAAAACAAAACTGCATCTACTACTACTGTTCTAGTAAAGAAAAAAAAAATAAACAAACTAGCAGACCACGACGACCGCCTTTTGTTTTTTTGTTTGGAAAGCGTTGTGCTGAATTTTTCCACAATGAGGAAATAAAAGGTAAAGGCAAAGAGATACGCATTGGTTTCGAAGCCTGAGTATTCAGTGACCTATAGCGAACCTACGAGGATTTTGTCAATTCATTTCATGGGGCAATGCTTCTTTTTTTTATTGTATCATTACTGCTACAATTTCACAACCCTTCTGGTAAAGAATAGTAAAGAAGTATCTAGAAAATCTGTACAAAAAATAAAAGGGTATGCACGGTACATTCAATATCTGTTACTGAGGTACTAGAAAGGTGTTCCCTTGACACCAGGGCAACAGCGTTAAAGAGTTACTCCTTGGGACTATTCCTTTGGAAAGACAATAGCTTGTTATCATAACAGGGTGAGGGAACATACAGACACGCATACAAACCCACACATACACACAAACGCACACACACCACTGTCATTAACAAAGCCAGCATGCAAGAACACTGTCCCGTTGCTCCTACAGGGAATCTAGACTCTACTGTCCTCTCACGCTTAAAGGAATTGGTGGATGCATACTGGTTCATGAGTGATGTGTAGGGTGGGCCATGACAGTGGGAGAGGAGTGGAGGGTGGGTGGGTTGGTGCAGGGTTGGTGGTGGGGTGCAGTGAGATCTTGTTAAACAATAAGGCGGTAGTCGATCCCTGCTCACCCATCCCGTGTTCTGAACGTTGGCAGTGTGTGATCATGTTCTTCATCACTACAGCTAACCTGTAACTGTCTGACTGAAATTAGCTGCGTGCAACTCTCTCAGCTCTGCGCGGTCAGACGGCGCCCTCTGCTGGCATGCTGTCGCCTTTCCAGCCAGAGAAAAGCTGCTAAACTCTATTCTGTGTGGGCACCACGTGTAAAGACCTCACACATATAGCACTCCAGCTGCTGGCATGAGATGATGCCTCAGTGCTCTCTGATATGACGCTATTATCTCATTACAAAACAACCCACGAGGGGGCGAAGCATGTGTAAATACAGGGGCCCTAAAACTGACAAAGAATGCCGGGTATTACCATCAGAAGTATGAGCCGAGCAGATATAATACACTCCGACAGTCTGAGAGAGCGCCACGCTGACGGCATTATGGATCCCTCTGCTGAGCAAGCAGACGACAGTGCCAGGGAGAGCTAAGGGCCAAACTGGGCTAAGGGGTAGCTGGCCGCCTGGTGGGGAGGACAGGATGTACGGTTTGTGATTCTGTCTGGTTCACTTTAGTACACATTTTCCCCCCTCACAAGAAAGGTGGAGGGGGAGGGAAGAGAGAAAAGAAAAAAAGAAGAAGAAGAAGAGAGCAGTAACATGAGCCATTAATGTACAAAGGGGGGCTTCAACCTTTCTGCCTCTGTGCCTCTACCGGTCAGAGTCAGAGGACTGCAGGAGGCGGCAGACTGTAAAGCCTCATGTCAGAAATGCTTTTTTTTTTTTTTTTTTTTACAAACAAACAAACAATAACACCTAGATCCACAACAGGTCAACTTTCCATTAAAACAACAGCCAACTAAGGATATAAACCAATCCAATCATTGAATCCTTGAGAACACAGTTATTGCTGACGTTGTGGGGGAGTGAAGGGAGGGGGAGGGGATGGCAGGTGAGTGGGGGAGATGAGGACGAGGATGGAGGGATGTGTGTGTTCCTGGGGTGTGGATGGGATGGGGCTAGCTGTGGATAGGTCACTCCTGGGCTGGTTATGTGTGATCTGAGGAACAAGACTGTGTAGCTCCACATCAGGTCAAACTGGCGCTGCCGATGTACTGGAGGGTCGGGCTGTGTCTGATGCTGGGAGGTGGAGGGGGTGGTTTCCAGAGGCGACGGAATGTGCTGGCGGCGGCAGGGGGGGCTATTGGTCGGAGGGGATGTCTCTGTCGGCTTCGGCCTTATTAGGAGAGGGGGCATGAGGCGGGTGGGAGACAGGGGCGATGCCGTGTGCCAGGGTTCCTGTAACAAGGCTCTCAACCCCTGCGCCCGCTCCTGGGAGACCCCCTGCTGCTGCAACATTGATCAGACCTGGGGGAAATCTGAAACACAGATGAAAAAGAAATTACGATAGCTGCTCACACCTGAGTCTGATGTGCAACCCCTGTCTATTCATAGCTTCTACATCCAATCCTCTCACCTGTAAGTGGCTCCATTAAGCTCTGGGTGAACAGTGGCTGCCTCCATGCTGGGCCACTGAGAGGCTGCCATCAGGTACTCCTTATTGACGCAGTTCTTCAGACTGTCAGGGATACGCCCTAGAGCAGGGAAAACAGACCATTACTTACTACACTTACTTACTATTACATACTTTTGTTGTCCGACTACCTAATCAGTGCCAGAGCTGTGTCCGGATCTGAATTTTCCAGGCCAATGCTGACTCATAAGCTTCCCATCTATGCATGTGTATATCTCCTCTCCTTTTTTTGGATTTGATAAAACACTCAACATTACCACTGACGCCTTTTTTCCCACTACACTTATATGTTATTCTTGCCTGCTGTCCAGCTATACGTGCCTGAGTCCACATCTTTAAATTCACCCACCCCACTGAGTGGCATCGTGACGTAAAACAGCTGTTTCCCAGTTGACATTCCATTGATCCAATGAGAGCCATGGGGATACTAACAATTAGCCAATAGTGCCACTGGCGGGACTAACGTAATTACCGAGCTGTTGTCAGGAGGTGTGTCGGGAACCAATTAGGAGTCATAACAATGTCAACCACTGAACACAAAATTGACGCTGCTATTGAGTGTGTTCAAAATTGATATGTCTGCAATATTGCCCGACATCGTAGTTTGTTTTTACTTGCCTTGCTCCACTCTTTAATGCTGATGTTATATTCAGGCAGATACATTGGTCTCTAGTAACTTGTTAAGGAAAATCAAATCCCCATCCCCCATGGAAACTGGTCAGAGTAAATATAATGGCCTTTTATCACACTAAACCTAACAACAGTGGCATCATGTCACCCCAGTGTGCGATTTTAGACAGCACGCCTGCATCGCGGAAACAATAGAGGTGTGACATGTGTGATATGTAGCAACGTTGGCCTCTAGTGACATAAAACATATGCACTGGCATCACTTTATGTACAATAACAATAGCAAAACACAGCAATAACAATCATTTACCGTCCCTGTTTTATGGAGGCTGATCTCGTCCTCTGCTCGGGGGGTGAGGAGCTCCCAGACCTCATTGTTTTCCCAATTTGTAGATATTTTCAGCAGATTCTTCTTCTTTGAGTTAGCTGCTAACTAGAGCCGACCGATTTATCAGTTGGACGATTTTATCGGCCAGTATTGGCCTTTCCTAGTTTTCAGTATCGGTGAATTTGTTCTCACTTATCAATAACAATGTTGCTACTTTGTTGATTACTTGTGTAATGAAAGACAGCACTCCAAGGAGGAGATGTAACAGTCACCAAGTTACCACACTAATGGTTGAAACTATAAAACAGCACAAAAATGACAATCACCGACATACGCCACCATATTCTGAACAGACAAATCACAAACATGAATATAAAGTCCTATTTTCATTCTAGAACACATAACATAAAACTTAGAAGCTGTACACATGCTGCGTCTTTAACCACCTGGGACACATGGGTTTGAGCACTGAGTGCATCTCTTGTGCCTACTCTGGGCCAATTTTCAAGAGTGCTGAAGTTGCTAAGCAACCATAACAAGCACCATATCATGGCCTACTAACATGAAATCCTGAGTGCAGAGCTTAACTTCCTCCTTTTTTAAGTGTGTTGGCTTTAAGTGTTGTCCGTGACACAGATGTAAAGCTCTGAGTAGCCCTGCACCAAAATAATCAACTTCTTCTCTGTATTTACCACAGACTGATATTTATGGAAGGGAAAGATGTCTGTCAGCTGTGATTGGTTGATCCCAGTCACATGACATGCAGTGCTTGATGCTGTGCTCCAAAAGTTGAAGTCGAAAAATAGTAGGGCTGGGGTGACGGGTTGGTTCAAACAAAAAATGGCGGTGTACAGCTGCAGCAGCAGTGCTGTGCTATTGTGCTATGGCCTACTCAAGTGCTGGAATTTGATATTTATGTGACAACGCCTGAACGCAACACAGGCTCCGCTCCGTTGACTGTGTACACAGTGCCGTGCTGCAGGTTCAGGCCGGGCTCAGTTATAATTGTCTCACTCGGGTCAGATATTTCAATAAATGTTAATGTTAATAAAAGATGTTTTGGTATTCATATAATAAATAATTGATAATCGAAAAATTAAACGTTGATTAGTCAATTAATCGAAAAAATAATTGCTAGATTAATTGTTACAAAAATAATTGTTTGGGACAGCCCTAAAAAATAGGCGCATCTGTTGCGAGAGCACAAAAAATGCAGCGTCTGTACGGCCCTTTAAACTACTTCCTAGACTCTAGATAAGCACTAGACAGGCATGATGGGAAATGAGGGCAGTCCCAACACTACAAGACTCTGAGCACCAGCACCCAGGTGCAATTTACAGCTGATCTGACCTCGGAGCAGAGTGAAGCGGTGCCATCAAATTCCAAACTAACTAGATATAATGCTGGAAAGTTAAACACTGACCCCTTCCTTTTTACTTTCCAGCAAAACTGTAATATAATTCTGTCACTGACAGCCCTAATGCTTATCATTTCAGTCTGCTGTGTTAGCAAGATAGCGAACCAGATAAAGCCTATCAGAGCAGTCAGTAACACAGTAGAATAAACTGCAGTCAAGCCAGCAGTCACTTGCAAACACAGCTCATGGGGGGAGCTAGCTATGGACCTAGCAAAGTTAGAGGAGGGATACATGTGCAGCTATCATTGGCATTCACATTTTTACTGTACACATTTAGAAATATCTAAAAATCTATATGTTAAGTCCCACATTTATACCTTGAAATGATTTCTTATCTGAAACTTGAGCTGGGTGCTATAAAAACACACTGCTCTGTAATTCCTGACAATAACTGAAATATTTGTGTTTATATATCGCTGACAGGAGAAGTGAATAAAATCAATCATCTATTTATAATGCAATGTTCTGCTGGGAAATTTTGGGTCCCGGCACTCGACACACACACTGCCCTCCCAAACACTGTTGCAGACCAAGTGCATCTCCTCATGGCAACTACACACCCTGATGGCAGTGCCCCCCTCCCCCCTGACCTGCCCTCCAAAGTCCGCAAATTCAAATGTGATAGGGCAATCATGAGACGTGCTGGACAAGTCCAATCTATGGAGGCCCCACCTCGCAACCCACAGGACACCCTCAGAGGTCTGGTGACTTTGCCTTGACAGGTCAGGGCCAAGTCTGGCCCAAGAAGGACCAACCATGAATGGCATTCATGGCTTTCAAGGCATGGACACAGGAACTCTGACATACCGCCACATCCCATGGATGCTCGATCAGCTTGGGATCAGGACAATTTGGAGACCAGGTTAACACCTTGAGCTCTTTGTCCCGTTCCTCAGGCCATTCCTGAGCAGTTTTTTCTGTGTGGCATGGCACACTGTCCTGCTGTGGGGACACTGCCATCAGGGAGTGTCATTGCTATGAGGGGTGTAGTTGGACTGCAGTGGTGTTTGGTGGGTGGTGCAGGTCAAGTGACATGAATGCCAGGACCAAAGGCTTCCCAGCTGAACGCAAATTATAACGCACAGAAAAAATTTTGATCATTACTTTGTACAATCAGTGGGGCTATTATGGAGTATATTATATGATATACTGAAGTCAGTTATAGGAGCACTGAGGACTTCAAAACTGCAAGCGGCTGACACTTCTCCCATGTGCCAAGTGTGAACTCCTGGTTAGGGTTCCTTTCATATTTATTGTTCAGGAGGTTTTTAACCAGGAGCTGATTATCGGCAGAGATCTCCTCCTCTCTAAAACAATCTGACCTAGTGATTAAAACCGGTGAAAATACTGAAAAAAGTTGTTTCACTTAACAAATCATTGGTTTTGTAATGCTGTTTGGCTCATCAAAGACTTGAAAGAACTTATCTAGAGCCAGTGTTTGGTTTGTCCATTCTGGGCTACTGTAGAAACATGGCGGTGCAACATGGCAGATTCCTTGAATAAGGACCCGCTCCCTATGTAGATTTTAAGGGCTCATTCTACGGTAACAAAAACACAATTTTTGTTACCGTAGGTGATTTTAAACTACTACAAACATGCATGTTAAATTGTATTCCATTTTTGCCATTGTCTCCCCCTAAATCCTACACACTGGACCTCGAAGGGATCATCCATCATCGTTTATAACCCCTTTTATACACGCACTTAATTCTGGAAATGTAGTGGTGTTGGATTTGTGTAGTTCCTGTATCTTTATAATGAATTCATTTTAGTAAACAAGGTGTCTACAGGTGTTAGATACTTACATTTAACGCTTTTTAAAACCTTTTCGATTAAATTTTACTAAACATAAGACTAGTTTTTGGACAAATCATCTATTCTTTTTCAAGCATTGCAGGTAAGTGTAAGTTAAGTAGTATATATGGGGTCCCACGCAGAGGCAGGTTTCATGAGGAATAATATATGGGAATATGGTTATTAGAGTGGGTCAGGTTAATCTGCATTTTGTTAAGAGGTAAGTCAGATTTGTCATCAGAAATGTGGACTCCACGCACAAGAGCTTGACTCATTTTGACGAAAAGAAATAAAAAGAAAATTAGATTAAATGTTTCTGACGATTAAGACCTCACAAATTCAACTGAAGACTACTTCATGACTTTTAAGGCCTTATATTTATCAATATTCATTTGAGACATTTTAAGATTTTATAAGGACACCCTGGTAAAACAACAGGCTTGATCCTGTAAGTGAAAAGTGTCTTACCAGTGATGGCGCGGCGAACCTCCCTGGCTGCCTCCTCGCGAGCTTCCACGGACGCCTGCTCACTGTACCAGGATGTATGCGGGGTACAGATCAGGTTGGGGGCATCCTTCAGAGGGCCTGTCGAAAAACTGTTAGGAAAGGGGGAAAGGCTGTTACAGAGACGAGCAATGAAGCTGTGTGTCGTGCACAGCTGTTGGGCGTGTCTTGTGTATCGTGGTTACCTGAAAGGTTCTGTCTCATGCACGTCCAGGGCAGCCCCTCGTATCCGGCCTTCTTTCAGGGCTTGAGCCAATGCTTTCTCGTCAACCAGACCGCCTCTTGACGTGTTCACCAGGAAGGCTCCCTGACGCATCTGTATCACAGAGTGAGCAAAAAAATATGATTCATCTATTGGGAGCAGACCACACAGGAAAGGGCTGAAACTTGAGATCTACAGCAACATACAACAGCACAGACTGAAATCATCTGGCACAAACATATATTTTTTTAATCCTTCCAATCTATAAAACAGACTTCCCTACAATATCAGAGCAGTGTTTGATTCAAAGTTGTCTTTACTGTCTAAACAATTGTGCTACAAAATTGTTAACCAAGTGTTTGAGTCAGGATTTGAAACTACATTAAATACAATCTGATTCTCACTTGAAAAGTTTGAGCTTCCATCTTTTATTTGAACAACAGCAACCAAGTGAACTAATAAATGGTTCAGCATTCTGCATATCAGACTGACATATTTTTCCATTCCTTACACTGTTACACTGTAAAACAAAAGGGAGGGCTCACATTATGAAAGGCCATTGTGCTGACGCAGGAATTTACTTTGCTGATGCAGGCTTAATAACTCAAGAATTTATATTATTTCCTCTATAAATTCTACAGCTAATCCTTTAATCACGCCCACAGAAAAAAAAGAGGACAGAACTTGCACAAATGTCATTTAAAAAACAACAGATTTCATACGTGATTTTTTTAAATATCTACTTTTAAATTGGATAAAATCAAACTCCAAACCACTGACACAAAAATAAAAATCTGATTTGATGCCTTTCCTAATCACTTTGACATTTGAGGAGGTCGTCATGAGATGGCAAACATGAGTCAAAATTTGTTTCTCGCATATTCAGAGGGCACCCACGAACCTGTTTGATGGTGAAGTCATTAATGAGGTGGTGGTTGTGCTCGTTGAGGCTGCAGTGCAGGGAAACACAGTCAGAGTGGATAAGCAGGTCCTGCAGAGTGGCCATGCGCTGCAAGCCCAGTGAGCGCTCCACACCATCAGGCAGGTAGGGGTCATAAAAGATCACACCAAAACCAAAGGCCTTAGCCCGCAGAGCCACTGCTTGGCCAACACGCCCTGGAGGACAAAAGAAATGTTGCTTACAATCACTGTGATGCCATCATTGGAAAATAACATAAAAATCAACCTTTCACTGAAGCAAAAATACCAAACAGGTCTTTCTGTCTGACTATCAACTGTCAGGCTTTGATTTAACTGATCTTCTATAGCACAAAATAATCTTTGTTCAATTACAAGTCAATTAAATAAAAACAATCCCTGATTTAAGGAATTGTTCGGAAACCTGGCTTTGATCAGGACAGTTCTGTAAACACTCTTCACTCACCTAGGCCGATAATGCCCAGCGTTTCACCGCGGATACGTGCAGCACCGCCAGCTACCTCCCTGATCTGCTCCACACTAGAGGCACGGGTTCCCTCCCTGAGGGCCTGGTGCATCCAGGTGACTCGCCTGTACAGGTTGAGGATCAGACATAGCGAGGTGTCGGCTGTCTCCTCCACTGAAGACGCTGGCACGTTACAGACTGCAATGCCTGAATGACCGGTTGAAAGTAGGAAAAAAATATCAGGCGCTCTGCGTGTTACTCCATGTGTGAGCTTGTGGTTGACCGTGTTTTAAGTTCCACTCACTCACCTAGCTCAGCAGCTGCTTTGATGTCAACGTTGTCGAAGCCGGATCCAATCCTGACAATCACGCGCAGGCCTTTAAACTTTTCCAAGTCATCTCTGGACAGAGTGATGGTGTGGTAGAGAAGAGCAGCCACTGCCTCATTTAGCACCTACAGAGGACAAATCATAAATCAGTTGATTATCATCACATTAAACCGATCTGAACACTTAAATATTATACCACTTCAACAAGGAACAAAGGGACATTAGAGCCACACAGCTTGGCTAGATGTCCCAGTGAAGAAGTGTGGGTGAAGAAGCAATTGTTTTTTCTTTTGGGTATGGTGCAGATGTTATTCATTTTCACACTACGTCAGAATGAAATAAAAATCTGAATTGAGATGGACTGAGATGAGAGTATGGGTGTGTGTGTGGGTGTGTATCTGCTCTACCTTCTCATGAATCTCTTGTGTGGACTGGGCATCGCAGAAGGCCACTGTGGCCACATCCTTGAGGATGGGCATTTCCACAGTGCAGTCGCGCCCGTCCAGCAGGGCAACCAGGGGCCGCGGGTGCATTGGCCCGTTCAGGATGGGGGGTCGGATACCTGAGTTCAGCAGGAGGAAAACGTTGTTCATGTTGGTCATTGAATGAGCAAGAGGTTAAACACTCAAAGATCATTACAAATCCGGGGCAAAAAAAAAACCAAGAATAAGAAAAGTTACTCAAATCAAATTAAAAGACTACAAACAACAAGTTTTAATCCAAATCTTCCTGCAGCGATAACTTGCTGGTGACACGTGGTGTACACAGCTACCAGCCGCTTGCATTTCAGAAACATCAAGGTTAACCTGGAGATCAGTGACTCAACAGTCTGCATTTCCCATGTCTGGACTAACCAGCATGATGCAAGTCATCATACCCTCACAAAAATCCCCCTGCACACATGGCTAAAGTTAATGGGGCTAACTGCCACACTCCTTAGACAATAATAACTCAGACTTTTATGACTCTCTTTTTCCAACACATCCACCTCCACCAACACCCTAAGGGAGCCGCAAGGAGGATGTGTGTAAGTGTGCGAGTGTTCTACGGTTACAAAAGTGATGTGTAACTAAATCTGTGATGGGGCATGGAGGCAGTCCAGCATACTGGCCTATTTGGTATTGAACTACAGCTCTGTTTAGTCATGCCCAGAGCCAGCATACGCCGTTCAGCTTTCATCGATCCATCTCCGTTCTACGCAGGCCCTTCGGCTCCTCATCAGGGGAAAGTTAGATTTTGGTTAATGGAGCAGAAATCTGGGAACCTGACCTTCCACTGTATGAGAAGTGCACACACAGAGAGGAGTAGGGCAGGAGGGGGAAAGGGGATGGAGTGTGGCGGCTGGGGGAGGGGTGGAGAAAACTGCGGGGTCTCAGAGAGGAGGCGGTGGGGGTTCATGAGGGGGTCTGAGTCATGACCTAAATTCTCCTGTCTGGAAGAGTGCCACCTTCCTATTTTTCTGGTTCTCCCCTTTCTTCAAACATATACAACAAATACATATACCTTACTAGCAAACATCTGCACATTTGGCTCATGTGCACCATAGCCTTTTATCTTTACGCCAATGAGGGTAATGTTGCAAAAACAAATCAAAGCCTTACATAAATGCCACATCTCTACCAACGCATTGGTGTTTAAATTAGAGGAAATTGATACAACGGCTATATCTGCAAATGCTTTTTACACCTCTCTCTGTCCTCCTCTCAGCAGTTCTTGGCTTGGACTGACCCCACACATGCACCAGTACACACTATCTTGTCCCTGCTGTGTGACAGGTGTGTGTGTGTGTGTGTCCCAGGGCGGGGGAGAGTGTCTAGCTGGAACATTTACTTGGACAGAGGGCAGGAGGTAATGGTGAGACTGCAGAGGAGGGAAGGGAGCTGGTAGCCGAGGGTGGAAAACAAATATTTGTGAACACTTCCTCTGACGTCTGAGCATTTCCCAATGCATGCATGAAATGCACACTGGCAAAGAAGAAAGAAAAGCATACAGCCTGGCAGCGTTATAAAAATGTGCTACAATGTACTACTCTGCTGCCGTTCCGCAGGCGGATTCACACTCACTGCAGATGGCTCAAGAATGCTAACAGGCCTACTGCTACACGCTGAACACACAAAGAGACGCTTACGATGTAGAAAAACCCAAAGGGATTCATCACAAAGACGGCCACTGAAAAAAGTAGTTGTGGAAATATACAAGTAGGCCTACACAAAGAGTAATTTGAGAAAAGGACACTGGCATACCCGAGGCCTACTAAGCACAAGCATGGCCGCGCACACAATACAATTCATTCAGTGATTCATTCATTCTCCCTCCCTCTCCCTTTCTTTCCCCTTGCTCCCTCCTCCTCTTCTCTCCCCCTCTGGCCGCAGTTGGAGGAGTAAGAGGTGAGGGGGGAGGGGCAGCAAACGATGATAATGCAGCAAGCAGCGGTACTCCACCCAGACACAGCTAGACACACACACGGTTATTCAGTTCCTTCTCAACGGCTGCGACACCACCGATACATGCTGAACATTAAAGGGGAAACTGCAAACACATAGCTGCTCCACACCCAACCCTTAGCCCCCCCCCCCCCCACACACAGATCACAAATTTCAAAAACACATGCCAAAATAGAAAACACATGAGCACCAGGCCTAACCTTGCATTATGAAGTCTGTGAGCCTGTCTTCCTCTCTCTCTCCCTCTCCCTCTCTCGCCTTGCTCTCCCTCTATCGCTCTTTTTTCCTCCCTCTCTCTCTGTCAGCCTGCTCTTGGCTGGCTGGATCCCAGCTGTCATCCACGCCCAGCCCCTCCCCCACAGCCAGCCTCCAATCACGGGCAACCCCATTGAGGGCCAGCCAACCAGCACTAACCTCATTAGCATAGCCCAGGCCGAGGCCGAGGGCGGTTTGGGCTGTTGTCGTTTTTTAAAGAGACAGCTGGCCCGTTTCCCTGTAGCTGCGGCCACGACCCTTCACCTTGTCCTCTCCCTCTCACCCGTCTCCAGAGACTCACCCAGACTGTTCCCTCCATTTTAGTACACCATTATGTCTCATCTACCATCATCTACTCTCCACTCTACAACAGCTCAAAATACCATCTCTTCTAGAAATCTATACTGTACCATCCATGACTACAATGACTTGTAGCAACACAAAAAGTTTACATATTTTCCATTACCCTCAATATGTAATATAGTGCTAAATATCCATCTGTGCATTCCTTGCATTCCAATTAAACAAAAGAAACAGACAAACAATAACCTGCTCCACTCTCAAACGCACTAGGCAGGAGTAAGAAATACAGTCAGGGTTGGCATTAGAAGCAGTCAGATCACAACACAAGTAAAGGGCATTGCTCATCTCTATGAACAGATATCTAATATGCATTCAGAATTTGTAGTCAACAGGATTAGATTTTGGTATCGGAAGTATTCTGCTTTCCAATTTTAGTCTGTTTGTAATATTAACTATTCACATTTGAGCGGGCTTTGGTTGCATGCAGTTAACAGTCCGTGGGGAGACAAAAAGAGGCGAAACGCATTAGCTCAAATGCAAACTAAAAACCCACTGACAATCATCTGATGACAATTTTGCTTTTGATTAGCCTATTTTTAAACATATCTGCACTACGGCTGCAACGATTAGTCGACTAATCGATGACTAATCAACTATTAAAATAATCGGTGACTATTTTAGTAGTCTCTCTCTCTCTCTCTCTCTCTCTCTCTCCCATGATGGTGAACTAAAACCCTTTGGCATGAGTATGAAACAAAACATTAGATGACATCATTTTGGGGTTTGGGAGAGACAGACCGTCATTTTTCAACATTTTAACACATTTTTCGATAAAATGATTAGTCGACTAATCGAAGAAATAATTGACAGATTAGTTGACAATGAAAATAATCGTTAGTTGCAGCCCTAATCTGCACTTTAATGCAAACATCTGTTTACATCTGCACATTCGAAGAATTATAGAAATTAGCCGAAATGTTGTGTGAACCTAAACCACCTAAAAACATAGTATCAATGCTTATGTATTGTGTGGAAAAACGTTCGTTGCTAATCAAACTGAAAAGAATGACGGTTCACAGAAGAGGAAGTCTTGGCCTTGATATTCGGATATCCGTTGGCTACACTGAAACCTCTGAATTACTGTCCGATGCCCCAAAAAGCTTAATCGACATCAGACAAAAGCCATTGGGTTCTAAAATTGGGGTCACCACAGATAAGTGTGTTAACCAGTACCTTTTGAGCATCATAAAACAAAAGATTTTTTTAAAACCACAACATTCCTAGAGCTGCAAGATGACATATTAAAGCAACCATTACACAGAAGGTTTATACAAATATAGTATGTGTCTGTCAGCATCTGATTTAAAAGAATGCAACAACTTTTACTTTTTTTTTTTTAGTTTAAAGAAATATTGCACCCACAAAATGACCATTTATAAATCAATCAGTCATGCTGTGTTACCTTGAATTCATGACAAAAACTCTGAAACTTTGCTTTTCTCACATGCTTCCATGGAGAACAGCGACCATGTGGATTTGTTGAATGGGGATCACGTTTAACAGTAGCAAAGCTATATCAAAACATGTGTTCATAAACTCTTACACACTTCAAGCACTCATGCAGTATAGTCTAAGTCTAATTTATTCTTGTATATATGCTCAGTGCTTCCCAAACACTTTCATTTTTTTCAGTAAATCCTTACTATTTTAAACTAAACTGAAAAAACTTATACATGGCCTCTTCACAGCCAGATTCAAATATATGATTTTTTAGCAAAAAATGTATGTTTGGAAAGTACTGAGCTTACAACTGGATAAATGAGACTTGGATTATACTGCAAGAGTTGTGTGTGAGTGCATAAACTGATGTTTTGGTATAGTTTTGCTGTTGTTAAACGTGGTCCCTAATCAGTCAATAAATATATGTATATATATCTCAACATGTTCATCATTTTCCATGGAGGCATGTGAGAAAAAGAATTTCTTCACAAATTAAAAGTAACACAGTGTGACTAAGTGATTTACAAATGGTCATTTTGAGGGTAAAATATTTCTTTAAATAAGAAAATTCTGCTCCCACTATGGTCAACCTACACATATATTACACAGTTGCAGTCTGCAGCTAAAAATGTTGTGGTTTTCCCTAAATGGAAACAGCAAAAACACACATATCTTTTGCAATCATGTATGAAAGATGTGTTATATTAGCACAGCAAGACCTGATTGTGTGACTGTATGGGTATGATGACCTGGGTATAAAAAAAGTAAGATCTAATTTAAGTACTTTAATGAAATATACTTAATAAACACAATCTCCTACTTTTACTTTGTGTATGAGTATTAATGAAATCTCACCCTCACAGATGCGGTCAAGTCTCTGCCGCTTGACCTGTTTGTGTTTGTCCATCAGAGCCATAGACCACGCAGTCTGAACCTGGGACAGAGAAGAACAGATCCAAGTGCTATGGAGCCCCTTTAACGTTGTCCACTTAGTTTCACCTGCACAAAGAAAAAAAATCATGATTAACTTGTTTATCTTTCCACATAGAGCTATATGAATAATATGTTCTTAAGAAAAAGTGATTAAAACTGTCAAAATAAGGGCTGAATTGCATGTGCTAAAAATTTGAAGACTAACTTTTACAGGCATGAAAATAATATACTCATATTGGAACTTCTAAAACAAAGACATAATACTAAAGAACTTGAAGAATCCAGGCTGAACAGCAAATTTTATATAGACTATATTCATCAAGAGAAACAAGTTAATGTGGATGATTTCTACAGTGACAGACTGCAGACACATACTAACCTGACGAACAATGTCCTTGTGCCAGTCAGATTGACAACTTAGTTTACACTGTAAACAAAGGAAAGGCAGATAGATCTCAGAATATGACAACAGGTGTCTTGTTAAAAAGACAATAACTCCATGTTAGCAATACTTGCAGAATTACATATGCAACAGCCAGTAAAAATGCAGTATTATGTGCATCCCTGGCGAAAACCTTGTTTTGATGAAGGTAATTTGTGCACGAGTTATTCAGGACTAGCTTATACTGGCCGGTACTTTGCTTTTACACTTTAACACTGCTCTCTGTTTAACCTGTTAGCATTTTTGATCACAGTCTACAACTTTGAGTGAACTTTGCATTAATAACACAACTCTCTCACACAATGCACTTAAAAAAGTTATACAACACCGCTATCAGTCGACGTTAGTTGATAGTACGTGTCGGTAACTTAACAATAACTTGACGTTAATTGTTAAAGTATCAAAGACACTCGTTAGCAGCCAAGTTACCGTTAACTAGCTAACTAGCATATGTTGTTAGCTAACCCGTTCTCAGCTAGCTATCTGTAGTATCAAATTGTGGCTAATATGAACATGCTGCATGCAAATACTGAAGCTATTTAACTTGTGTTAGGTGGCAAGTTTTTAACAATTAGTCGGTTCGCACTGGGGTACTTTAGCTTGCATTAACTTTTGAGTCGCGGTCCGGGCTAATGCTAACTAAACACATAGCACCGCAGCTAGCTAGCCGATGTTGGCTAGCTAACCCAAACACAAACACTTGAGTACTTTAAATAGCTAACATTTTAATTACAACTACAAATTCTCCCTAGCTCCCGAATATACAGAGCACACTGGTGTTATTTAGCTCCCACTAAGTTGTGAAGCGTGTCAATAAAAACAAAAACAAAACCCATAGCTACATGTATGAGGCGTTTGCAGCATTGCTAACGTTAGCTAGCCAGCGCCGTTAACTAGCGTGCCGCTGTGTGTGGGAGAGATGCAAGCGGAGGGGGAGCCCATTTCGTCCGATTTGTTATCAGCGAGTGGCGCTACAATGTGAAATATCTGACCCAGAAGCTACACAATTGATTAATTCGACAGGGAAAATGGGAATCGTCCGCATGACTGAACTCAAGCAGGACTACTTTGACACCCGGTGACCGAATCTTGCAAAAATTGTTAGTTATTTACCCCGGATAAACTCTTTCAAGAGTGCCGAGACAGTGTGCGTGCGTCGGTGGTGTTCCCTCTCTCCCGATCGCCATGAAATTAGACAAAAGAGGAAGTGGCTTGTCGGTGGGGTGGGGGGGGGGTCAGACAGTCTTCTGTGAAAAAGCATCGGCCAACTGGAAGGAGCGCCCTCACCTTCCACGGCGGAACGGCAGTCTTGATCTGACAAAGACCTGTGAGACTCATCAGTGCAACATGTCTGCTTACATAGTTATAGAACTTTAAAAAAAAACTTTGCTGCACTTCGACTTTATCCACTGTTGACTGTTTTCAAAGATCCAAGCATGCAATCGTCTCAAAAAGATAAGCCAGTGTAACTCTTACAGCTATACTCAGGTTTGTGAAACCTTTATTCCCCCTTAAACACAAAACGTAGCTATGCATCAACATCTGCTGCAAGTTCACCCAGAATGCAATGTATTCCTCTGCAACATGTCTGATCCTGACATCAGCCACTATGTGTCGCAGTTTTGCCCCAATCTACAGGCCCCTGATGTGCTCTTACATTTCACTCCAAGCAGGATCCATGACTGTCAAATGGAAGACAAGGCACTTTTTGGGGAAAAAAAAATATCATTCTCTATTAAATTTTATTTGTACATAAATTGTGCAACAGGAATATATCCATCTGAAAACACATGAAAAATCATCTCTGAAAGGCCACCAAATCATCTGCATCACTACTGCTTTTGTCACCTTCACTCAGAATTGGCTCGACATCTGTCTGTGTCTGTGTCTGTGTGTCTGTGTGTGTACTCGCTCAAACCGCTGTACAGTACATTACATTGTGCCCTATGGAGTCTAGCTGCAGCACTGATTCAGCTATTCAGTTGACTATTATAGTGCATGTGCCACCTGTTTCAAAAAATATCTGTATCAGCGCAAATGGAGATTGCAAAAAAAAAAAAAAAAAAGTCTGGCTGTGAAAAGAAAACCAGAGCACCAAGAACTCTGTGTTTAAGCTTAAGGCATGGTCAGTTTACAGTATAATCAGTATTGTTGTTGACAAGGTGTGTTTATGTGTAAACAATTGAGACACTCCAAAAAGAAAGAACAAGGGGGGGGGGGGGGGGGGGGGGGGGGGGGGGGGGGGGGGGCTGTCCTTTCTGCTTTAACAAGAAAAAAAATCCCTTTGATGATGTGGAGTTACTCTGAAAAGGACAAGCTAAATCAATGACAGAACAGCAGTGAAAGTAAACGTGTCTGTAGTCTGTGAGGGGTTTAAGGAGCAGCAGTGAAATCCTGGAATGTATCCCGTTAAATACACAGGAGAGCATTTATATAGAGATCAGTATCATGTTGTTTGGGCTACTCGAAAATTATCTGAACTGTGTGCACCTTTAACAGCTCACATATGGTCATGTCCAAATTCAGGGACCTAAATATAATAGTAGACTACACCAGTATCTGATGGGGCAATGAGGAATGCTTGCCTCTTTGCCATTAACACTTGTGAGGAAATATTAAGCACGTTCTGCTTACTCCACTACACAGCGTTCTTTGATGATGATATGTAAGGGTATCAAGATGCATACCAGTGGTGAACGCAAATTAAGACTCGTATCAATATGAAAATTTAGCCAAAATTCAGTGTGCATGAAAACTAGCATATTTGCTCATGCACATTTCCCTATGGAGTGTTGAATAGGCAGGCACTGTGACAGTTTTGTGAAATGTTGAATAGTGAACTAGCTCAAGTGTTACAGTCATAAAATTGTAATTTGATATTAGCTTATAATTGCTTGGTTCTTGATTATGACCTCTGGACATGTGCCTTAGGAGGGCAGCAGGTTCCCAAGGACTCTGCCAGACGAGCGTACAAAGCCTACAGGTGTGCTTAACACAGTAATGAATGCAGTAATCACACTCTGAGCGTCAAGGAGTGGTCAGTTCTCTTCTATAAGGGTCAAGTCCAGTTCTGTACAGTCTCTTTCAAAAACAATCTTTTGCCCTCCATCGATTGCAGTCCTTTTTCTTTTATCCTCTTCCTCCTCCTCCTCCTCCTCCTCCTCCTCCTCCTCCTCCTCCTCCTCTTCACTTTCACTCAGTGGCCCGATGCTGACTCGTCCCAGGAACTCGGCAGGGGAGAAGGCTGAGCGCTGCTCTGCCTGGGATGACGCTGGAACGATGCAGCCACCTGTAGCACACACTAGGCTCTCGTGATTACCAATCTACACAGGAGAGAGGAGCGTGGTGATTATCATGTTATCATGACACAATTCTAGCATTTAACCTGTGGCAAAAACACTTCACTAAAATGGGGCCCGGTCTAATTCTCAAAGCTGAATTATCACCTGCATAAATCTCCAAGATCCACACCCAAAGGTAATAAAATGTAGGTGGAGCAGTGATGATGTCACTGGTAGTGCCAGGAAGTCTGCATTGATGGCAGTGCCCGTTTCTTTGGTTAAATACGGATTAACTGATAGCAGAGTTTATGGGCTCGGCTGGCATGTGTGACCTGACCGGCACAAGCAAGGGCCTAAACAAGCAGCATTAACGCTGGAAACTACAAACTCTCAAATAATGTAATTTACATCAATGGCAGTTAATCTCAAAAAATATGAAGCAGACTAACTCTCTGACATACATAGATTAAAATGTGTAGGCAAATACCAGGAGTGCCGGTGAGCCAACATACTGTAACTTTCTGGCAACCTAACTTTAAAAGGGGAACTTCACTCATCTTCAGATTCATACATGTTGTTCCTATGGTCTGAGACAGTCCAAAAAACATAAGTAAATATGAACAACTCTCCCAAATCTAAAAACTTGAGTGCTAAAACTCAAATTTGCGATATCATCAAGTATAAAGTCTGGAGCTGCTCCATAGACAATCAACTGGGAAAGATGTTACAGGTGACACTGCGAGCACCCAAGGGAATGTTATGAGTACATGGGTACACTTGGTGTTTCATAATTAAGAACAGTACAATAGAATGAAGCTCATCTGGGCATAAAAATATATATATGTTCTGTGGGTCCACAAAATCAGGCTCAAGTATAAATACTTACTTCTCTGGTTTCTGGCTTCGAGGGAGAGTAGTTCATGCTCATAAATATTGACTAAACTTTCCTAGGCCATGAAAACAACAAATTGGAATTCTTAATTCAGGTGGTGTTCCCCTTAAGTGTGTACTGGGTGGTTCATCTTGGTCATGGAAGAAAACCAGCTAAGAACTGCTCTTTAAAAAAGGTCCCCAAATTGTCAGACAGTCTGCATTTAAGGATTTTGCCTTGAAAACCTTGAAAACTTCTCATATCAGGCAAATTTATTAGTAGGCAGTTGCAACCAGAAACAACCTGTGAAAGGAGTTTAATTATGAATGGGTCAAACTCTGGCTGGAACTGTGCTCAGTAGTGTGCATCATAGCAGAGTGGAGATAGGAAAATTGCAGCTTGAGACAGTTTTGTTGCCAACTGGGTAAAACTGCCTGCACCAACCCCAGCCCAAAACCCCTATTGCCTCTCAATATCCAGAGAAGATAAAACATGGGCACAATTAACCCAGGTCTGAAGATTACTCACTGATACCATTAAATATGTGGATATCAGTATATGCACATATGAGGAGATTGACAGAAACTACCTACCTTAACAGTCCATTGGACTTTCTTGCTCACCTGTGTCATCTTACTGAAGTCAAGGCCCGGCCTGGGGCAGGGCAGAACATCCGGGTCATGGCGCCTCTTCAAGCGAGGCTTGCGCATGTCGCAGGGCTGTGAGTGGCATCGTGGCAGCGCTGGGTGCAGGTCGCGTCTAGAAGAGGATGGTGTGCTGCAGGCTGAAGTGGGAGACGGAGACAGGGCTGGGTGTTCCATGCCAGAACAGCCATATGTCAGAGCAGAAGAAGGGGAGGGCTGGGGGGGCAGGAGCACCACAGAGGCATCCTGAATGTGCACAGGGGAGAGGGAGAAGCGGCGCTGCAGCACTGAATGAGAAACCAGGGGGGCCGGTGAGGAGGAGCAGGAGGAAGGAGTAGCGAAGGAGGCAGAACAGGCTCCTTTCAGTTTGTCACAGGGATCCCATGAGAAGCTCCATGGTAGTGGGGAGTCAGAGGACAGTGCTAAGCTAAAGAAGGTAGGGCTAGAAGATGAATTTAGGGAGGAGGAGGTAAAAGAAGAACTGGGCCCACAAAGTGGCAGAGAGCTGGCTCCAGAGCTTGAACTAGATGCTCCTCCACTTTGGCAGCCACGTTTGACTGGGGTCCAAACCTTGGATGCACTGGGATGCCAGGTGGAGCGACACTGAGACAGGTCCTCTGGAACAGAGAGGGACCGGCAGTGGCGTTTCGGCGGTGGGGGTGGAGGTGAGCTTTGGAAAGCCTTGTTTGTAAAAGAAACCTCTGGTCTCTGGAGAGGTTCTCCAGAGTGGGAAGGAGGCCACAGGAAGTCCAATCCACAGGAATCATCCAGAAGGTTGGCTTTGGATGACGGGTGTGTAGCTGAGCTGGTCTCTGAAAATGTCAAAAGATAGAAATGAGACAGATTTCCCCTCTTAACAGCTGCAAATACTGCATTTAATTCAATGAACTTACCTTGTGTTGATCTACAAGCACTCCATGAGACAGTGGGACTGGAGCCCACTGCAGGTAAAGACTGAAACAGAAATAGAATAAATCAAGAACCCATAAAACCAAGTGCATCATGTGAAACAAAGAACATTTTTTAGAGGACAAGATTAGGTTTTGTATCCAACTCACCGCATTTATATTGAATGAGAAAGCCTTGTAGTAAGGCTCTTCCAAACTTTGCTTACGGAGCTGCTCTGTGATAAGCGTCACCATATTTGTAGCTACAGTCCGGGGACAGACATGGAGATGATGAGGAGATTTACTGAGGGCAGTGGAAATTGTATTAGTCAGAATCCTGGCGTGGTTTGTGGTGTCCCCTCCACACCTCAACCAGCCAGACTGACCAGCTTTCTCACTGTGCCACCGTCATTTTTATGCCACCTAGAGGGACAGATGAGAAGGGATCCTTGTAAAACAATGTCAGTGATTAACTGAAAATGGTCACACACATCGCAGAGAAAGCCCTTCATTGAACAGCAGCTTGTACATTGCTAGACGGCTGCATCAGGCCTTGGTTAGCGGTGTAACATCTGCTAATGCAGACTTTACCTCCAAAATGCTATAATGCAGAAAAGCCCACAGAAGGAAGAACAGAATGCCTAAATGTGTATTCTAAGTACTAACCACATATTACTATTCAAGAAAGACCCAGGCTGGGATCTACTTGCTGCCACAATCACATGTGAAAGGCAGAAGTTCATGTTCACAAAGGCAGAGAGAGAGCACACATGGATGTGAAGAGACCCAGAACAAAGAAACAATTCACATTCCATCATGCACAGTGAACAAAGCCATGTCTTATTGGGACTACCAACATGGACTGGTGCAGTTTCAAAGAAGATGCAGAATATGTCCAAAGCAACGTTTGGGGCAATATGGCAGTCAAAGTCAGTGAGGTCCAACAAAAACAAATGACAGGAGCTGCAAGTCGTGAAGTGAATGGAGGGGGGGAGGGAGAGACGAAAAGGGGAAAGGATGGGGGAAGTGTATGGGGAAAAAAATGAATGGGGATACGGGTTTGGAAGCATGCCATAGTATCTTTGCAAGGGGGACAAAAGAACAGTGACCAGGTCCCAAGAGTTTATATTACCAAGGCAAAACCAAAATGGTGTGATGTACCCAGAGGGCAGGGGGGCCGCAAGACAGTCTGTGTGTCAATTTCATTAACACGCATTCCTCCTATATTTCCTTTGCATGCAAATAGCAAGGAGTTAGCCATTAAGATCTAAGGGTTGCTCTCAAACATCTTTGAAGATTAACCTGCAATGGCTGATCCCAGCAAACCCTTGTACAGCACAGAATGTACACCTCAAACTGAAACTAAAACAGAAAGACAATGCACAATATCTAACCACTGCATTAAAATGTAACATGGACATTTGTGCACCCAAAATCCAGAGCACATTTACTACTGACATCTAAAGTAGACATGACACATCATAATGAGACAATGTCACAACTGTGTCAACTTCAAATTATCTGACTTAGTCTGAATTAAAAGATTTGAGGATGTGTAGAGTATGACTCATTGAAGAGACTTGTTTCAACATTTGCTTTTGGCAGTCAGATGTGGCCTCCAGGGCCTTCCTCCTTGTGGCAAATATGGTGCTACATTGCTAGCCTAGTCCCACATGCCAGAAGACATGCTACCTCGCCCCGGCACTGGGGCACAGGCTGAACCTCATCCTGTAGCTGCAGCCACAGTAAAAAAGCTCTGCACCCACAGACTCCATTTGCTCAGAGTGGTGCTGTCAGCCACCAGCTGATTTAAAACTTTACAGTCACTTTACAATCTCGGCTACAAACTTCAATGTTAACATCACTGCGAATGAATGATATCATACTTTTACAACGACAAACGAGACAACACTACAATCACAAAACAGTAATAGGATTATTAGTAAGGCTAACAAGTGGATTTGGCCTATGGACTCTTTGGACTCTAATGTGCAAACCAACACATAAGTTAAAGGTAGTGTTGCGCAGCTTGCCATTATCTACAAAACACAACGTTTGTTTTAGCCAATTAAAAGCCTATAACGTTATCTCCAACATTAGCTGCAGGACAACTATTTGTCATTGAGAATGTAGGACTTAATAACATTAGGCAACATTGACTGGCTAAATCGCATACTCACTTTTGCTGGTGAGCAAAGTATAAAGTAAGCTAGCTCAGCAACACGATGCAGCCCGTGGAACACTAACTAAGTTATTAGCCGGGTGCTATTAGCTAACGTTAGCTGATAACAAGCGTCCTCACTGACGTTACTAGCGTTAGTTTGCTTACATTCGGTTTGTCTGCTACCGGTTTATGGCTTGTCATTGTACCCGACTGTAGCCACGATTCACTGGACTGGAATATGAGTCGAGGCGTTCATGAATTTAACGGCTGGGCCGATAATGTGTTACTACATTAGTTGTAGCGTTAGCTTGGTTACGCAGTCTGATTGCAAGCTAGCATGCTACAGCTGTCCTGATGTATTACCTGCGTTCCGTGGTTCCTTAGCAACCGAAGCTGCACACAGTGCACCGGATAGAGCGCAGTTAAGCGGAGTACTTATAGCCTTTGGACCGTACCATTACAGAGGTGTTTTTGAATACACTGCCATGAAAAAACCGCAATGTGAGGAAAGCCAAATATGCTGATATTGCACATGTTTCTCCAACAATAATTTAATTGATGTGTTTCCAACTGTAACTACACTTTAAGCAACATGTCTTGCCCTTATTTTAATGTCTCTGTGTCGTTACCCGCCCCACAGTTGGGTCCTTCTAAATAAAGCGACAGCGTAAAATAATAACTGACCAAACAGTGTTTTAGACATATAAACGTAGTTTATCTGATTCATGTAGAATTATATAACACGTATCTAACTGAGATGGCCTACATATATTTGCGATGGAAGAAGAATCTATTGCAAACTGCTCAAACTATGTGAACTACAGTTTACCATGTACGCATGCGTGGTGGATGTCAAGCCCACAGACCAGACATAGCGAAACAATTTCAGAAGTAGATGCAGAAGAAGTCTTGATTAGTGTCATCGCGTCGCCCTTTGTTCATATCCTCAGTAGTCTTTGACACACGTCACATCTACGGGGATCCCAAGGACAACATGGCACGTGAAAATTTCAGGAAAGAAGAAACTCTAGCAATGAGGAAGAGACTGATCGGGTATGTAGGAATGAAACTGGTATTGTTTGATTGTTTTGATGCAAGCTGGTGCATGTATCGTGTATTTGTGCAAGACAGTTACTGACACGTAGTAATTGATTGGATCACAGGCAGTCCATCAGACTCTTCTATTCAGGCGACCCTGTGAAAATAGTGAGAGCAAGAGGGCAATATCTATTCGATGAGAATGGCCAGCGCTATCTGGACTGCATCAGCAACGTCCACCATGGTGAAACATTTATTATCCAGTGCAAAGTCTATAGTTATTGCCTTTATAAACACAGTACATTACACTCCTGCCTACTAGTGGTAGAAACTTCATGTGTTGCATTATTCCTTTTGCAGTGGGCCACTGTCACCCCAGCATTACAAAGGCTGCAGCAGCACAAATGGACCTCCTCAACACAAATACAAGATTCCTGCACGACAATATAGTCATGTATGCAGACCGCCTGGCCGCCACCCTGCCTGAGAAACTGTGTGTCTTCTACTTTGTTAACTCAGGGTAAGTAACACACCCAAAGCCCAACAAACTGGTATTCCTCAAGTACCATTGTGGTGATTTAACATCTGTTCTTCTTGCAGTTCAGAGGCCAATGATCTTGCCCTTCGCTTGGCCCAGCAGTACACCCAGCATGAGGACGTCATTGTGCTTGACCAGTAAGTATTGAGCTCTAGTGCAACACTTTCGCCCTCTGACAATACACCTGCTTGTCAATTACAATGAGCTCTCCTTTTACACCAGTGCATACCATGGGCATCTAATGTCCCTCATCGACATTAGTCCTTACAAGTTCCGGAAACTGGCAGGACAGAAAGAATGGGTTCATGTGGTGTGTAAATCCATACGACCATCATTTCACAAACCGCTGACCAACAGTGGACTCCTGCCTGTCTGAAAGAATATGTTTCATCCTCCTAGGCACCCTTACCAGACACCTACAGGGGCTTATACAGAGAGGATCACCCCAACCCCGGCCAAGCTTACGCTGACACAGTAAAAGACCTGATAGAGGAGGTGCACAGGAAGGGTCGTAAGGTACACTTTTACTCAGCTGTACACACCCTTACACTTACATCACTCATTGTTATACAGAGAATTAATAACACTGTAATGAACAGGACCATTTATAATACTCACTAACTTCCATTTCCCCACAGATCTCTGCCTTCTTTGCTGAATCCTTGCCAAGTGTTGGAGGACAAATCATCATGCCCCAAGGATACTCAGCTAAAGTTGCAGAGTGAGTGATGACTCATTTTCCTAGGTTCTGTCTTTGCTCGACCACATGTAGAACAGTAGAGTCATGGTGCATCTCTGTCAAACTCTCCACAGATACGTGCGCTCAGCAGGTGGGGTGTTTGTGGCAGACGAGGTGCAGACAGGCTTCGGACGTGTGGGAAGTCACTTCTGGGCTTTCCAGCTGCAGGGGGAGGGGTTCTGTCCCGACATTGTGACCATGGGTAAACCAATGGGCAACGGGCATCCTGTGGCATGTGTGGCAACCACTGTGGAGATAGCAGGAGCTTTCACGGCCAACGGAGTGGAGTACTTCAACACGGTGATTATACAGCAACCTCAACACAGTATGAATGAATGGTTCAAGTTGGTATCTATAGTGTTTTCCAGCTGTAGAGACAGTCAGGCTCATGACATTCTTAGTTTAGCCCTCATCTTACCAACATATTGAGCATACTGGGGCTACCAACTGGAGTCTCCATGAATGAACTATTCTACCTAGCAACCATCCTAGCAAAATGTTAACTTATTTCCTCTCATAACATTATTTGTTGAGTAGGTAAGGTAATTTAAAACACAGATTATTATTTAAATAGTTTGTTTGCATGTTGTGTGAAATGCAAATATATACTTTTCTTTAATACAAACTCCAACTTTTATCCTAAGTACAGTCCACATTAGTACTGAGGAGCTTATTTCTTCTATCATTTATGGCTGATGCTCATTTAGTTTTCAGTCATTTCAAGTTGTATGTACAGTATATATTGGAACCAACCAAATTGAATGAAACCCACAGCCATTCAAAGTTTAAAACCTTTTAATTTTAATTGCCCTTCAGTACAAAAGACCTCAAATTTCCATTTTTTCAAACACCACATGCTACTAGCAGTTACAGCACACGATTTGGCTCATGCTATGCTCACTGCATACTGGCACATCACATGCAGAGGAAACGTGTTACCTTCCTGTCTGCGTTTCGGGGTCAAATGGTAACGCCTTTTTCAAGTAGAGGTTCCAGCTGAGCATTTGACATCCACTGCGGCTGGTGGACTTTTTTGTGATTTGATCGTTTTTATCATGAAATAATATTGAACATTATCTTACCTTAGTGAAGAGCAGTGTTTATGGCTGTTGACAGAGCACGAGGAAATCTGTGTCTGTCTCCTTTAAAACGACTGATTGAACTGACTGATGAGTCCCCCACCCCTTACAAGCACTAATTAAAACAGAAACCGAAAATGATGATATGAAGTCATTTGGAACAAACTGACAAAGTCATGACAGTTAGAGTAATATAACACAGCTCCGGTGGGATAAAACAAAAATACCTCAGGGGTCTGCAGTTACCCCAGATTGCAGGGTCAGAGATTGCGTGATATCATAGTTATCTATTATTATTTTTAGTAACCTTCGACATCAAGAGAGTGTCTTCTAAGGTACAATGTCAGAACCAATGTTTAATTTAGGTGGTTATGTCTATCACTGACTACTGCTTGACAAATGTTAAAGACTTGTAACTTACTACGCTGCAGCATAAAAAATACATTAATAATGGGAATTCTTCTCAAGTCTGTTACCCCAAAATTTCACAAGAGATTTCTGTGGACACCTGTTTGCACTGCCTCTTAAAATGCATGCCTATATCAAGATGAAAATATTTGTTTTGCCTCTAACATCATGCAGTTTGGAGGGAATCCGGTGTCCTGTGCAATCGGCCTGGCGGTCCTTGATGTGATCGAGAAAGAGGACCTTAGAGGAAACGCCACTCGGGTGGGAGGACATCTTAAAGATCTGCTCATGAAGCTGCAAACTCGACATCAAATAATCGGCGACGTCAGGTGAGAATGCAGTGACTAGCACACTTCCCAAATGCATTAAGGTCGGCGCCGTTCTGTACTCGAGAGTCCATGTGATAAAATCAGATTTAAGTGATAAGTACGGTCTGGCACACATTAACTTGTCACATACCATTTCACTGCTACTAATTACTGATTAAATTACTAACACTAATTAAATCCACACAGCTGTATTCTTATCTTTTACCTGATATCAGACAGAACTCTTTACACCCTGTGTCCATCTTCTGTCAGCTCAGAGGAGTAGGCAGGATGGTACTGATCGATCTCTGACATGAAAAAGGTTTTGATGGAACAACTTCTAACTATTGGAATTGGCTGCTAGAAATAAAATGTTTTATTTGATTTGTTTTTATTTGATGCAAAACCTATTATTAGAAGTGTGTACCAGGCCTTCTTTCACAGCAGACATTTTGAATTCACACAATAGGAAATGCACCAGTATTAATAACATTAGCAATGGCCCTGTTCTATTTAAGTGCTCCCTCCTCCTACTGAGACATGTAAAATATCTACTGTGATAAGGACCTACTTATGGCACTTATATTTCCTTACCCAAGGGTCAAAACTTGAGCTAGTAATTTCATTAGAATATCAGGCACAACTTAAGGGAATAAAATGACAATAACAACAGGGACTTTGAAGACATACCAATTGGAAGCATCCAGTTACCTTTTCAATCTGGGCCGTTTCATTACTCAAATCCAGTTTTCCTTCGTCAAAATAACAACTAAAAGTTGAGGTGAGTTGTAAAGTGTCGCCCCCTGTCTTAGATTGTTTTCTGTTGTGTTCCCTATTTGACAGAGGTGTAGGTCTGTTTGTGGGTCTCGAGCTGGTTACAGACAGGAAGAAGAAGACTCCCGCCACAGAAACAGCAGCAGTGGTGGTGAAAAGGTACCAGACTAGAGCGCAATACAGTAGTCACAGTTACAGTTGAAACACAGATTACCTTTAACTTGATTTTCTCGTATGCACTGTTTCTGTGATTTCACTCCATGTCCCTTTTACGTTAGGTTGAAAGAGGAGGATAAAATCTGTGTCAGTACAGACGGCCCCTGGGACAACGTCGTCAAGTTTAAACCTCCCATGTGCTTTAGTATGGAGGACGCCGAGCTGGTGGCACAGTGTATCGACCGCATACTCACAGGTTAGTTTGACAGACACCGCTACCTGACACTCAAGACATAATATAAAACACTGTGAAAGAGTGAATATCACACATTCATAATTTTAACCAGTTTCCTTTTTCTCACAGACATGGGAGCCAGTGCACTTAAACTGGAAAAGGACGACATCTAAGGTTTGTTAAACCTGTAGAAAAACCTTTAATTGCATCATTGTCAGACGGTCACATTCATAAAGTTCAGAGGTAGAGATGTGAATGTCTTATACTCGAGGTTCCAGTAGATCGAACAAGTTCAGTCATTTCACTTAACAGAACATGTTGCTGTCTTCCACTCGTCACTGACCACTGTGGGGACTCACTTTGTTTTAGAAATGGATTAGTCTGATGATAAATTGTCTATTAGTACAAAGTTTAATCTAGGAAATATCAAAATGGTGGAAGTGGATTTTTTATGTCAGTCAGAAAAGGAGGATGACTGCTCCTTTCATTTGTCTACAGCCATGCAACTTTAAAGTGTATCAATTTAAGTTTTTTTCTTCCCCTCAGGTGTTCAGTGCCATTTTTAAGGCATCTCCTATGCAGACACCTAACTGGTGAAACCCAGCCAACTGGAGGTTTACACATTTTATCGTTACCATCTGCAAGTCAACCCATTACACAAGATGCTAATTTGACATTCATGATCTACAAAGACTTGTTTTTTTTCCTCCAATCAAGACACTAATAAACACCAAGCATTTTTTTTAAAGAAATCTTGACTCTTTCTTTTACCCAAAGTAGCAATATTTAAAATATTTTATCCCACGTTAAAACACTGAGCAGCAACATGTTCCTAATACACAGTATGGTATGATAAGCACTTACCAGAACACTAGCTTTAACTCCTGGTCACATTCATAAAAAATGCTCAAGTATCGCAGTTTCACATCTAGTGGGGTGGGTATTAACACTCAGCAAGTTATCCTGCAGGTACTGAAGCCCTCTCCCACACCTTCCCAAAGAGGCATCCGTAGAGGTGTTAACATTACTCAAGACAAAACAAGCAAGCCATTTAACAGTACAAAACATTTAACATTATCTTTACAAATAATAACAAAAGGATCCGTGTGTAATATAAACCAAAAGTTTATTTCTACCAATTTGCCCAAGACACTAGAGGAATGAGTTTCCAGTGAGAGAGGGAGTACCCTCTTACATTAACAGGCTTGCGTTCAGTTGAATAACACTAGTAAAGCCACTTAAAATTGCAGACATGATGGGGGAAGAATCTCCTTAAAAGCCAAAAGAAAAAAAAAGAAAAGAAAATAAAGATGCTGGTTGTCTTCGTCTACTAGGCCATCTGCAAACATTAACTTGACACGCTTACAATGAACCCTTTGATTAGTTTAAATCCCTTATTTTTTTTTGCCTCACCCCACATCTGAAGCCATGCAACTCGCATCCAACATTCAGCACAGGAGAAAATAACTAAAGATCTAGAAACACCAAAAAGGAAAGGAAAAAAAAAAAGCAAAATTGTTTTATTTGTGAGCTTTAAAAGCTCTTGCTCCTGCTCATCTGTAAATCCAGTAGACATGTAAAAATACAACCATACAATACATTAGATTCAAAAAGGTACCAAAAAGTACAGTAAAAATAACACTTCCATCACTGGAAATGTAAATGGACACAAAACAATATAAAATAAAAAGTGGAAAAGTGACATTTGCTTCCCCAGTTCCTCACTTGATCTGTACAAATGGAGCATGAGTCCAAATTTCTGCCAACTCCAAAGGAAAAGCCAGAGCCCATGTTCGTTGTGGTCAGACCATGGATCTCTTTTTCTTATTTACTTTAGACCTTAAGAGAAAAACACGGTGCTTAACGTTACTGAGAATAAACCAAATATGGCATGCAGTTACACAAAGACAGACAGGTGCATGAATGAGTTTGACAGGTCAGTGAATGGACAGACACACTTTGGGAGGGGGGCACGACCGCTAACTAGTACACCTAGCACCCTGGTGAAAGGTGAAACGGTCCTTATTCCTGTTCTCAACCACCACCAACTCAACCCTTATTGATCAAGTAGTAGAGATGCATCTTAAGATGGCTGACAGGTGGAATGAATCCATCTTTAATGATCACAGACCCCACAACACAGCCTACCCTAACCCCACCACAATGCTTGAATGGATTTAGAGTAGATGGAGATCTTTGGGGTCAAAAAGGCACCAATGGTTACAGCTATGTTCTCATACTACCACGGATGATGCAAAAATGCATACCTGCACTACGTGTGATCAGTATGGCTTGTAGCTATTCTGGTGGCCTCCACGTCTTGGAGTTTTCCCATAGCTTGTATTGCCCTGGTCTGGAGGACAAGAGAAAAAGGGACTGAGTTCTTCTGTACAACAAGGAGGACCAAGAAAATAAAGTTTCTCTCATTCTTTCTTTCCCTGGGGGCACTTATCGCTTACTGTAATCGTAGCCACCCCCATAGCCGTAATAACCAGCAGAGTAGTCATAGTTGCCGTAGCCGCCATATCCGTAGCCTTGCTGTCCGTAGCCATAGTTCTGGTTGTATCCCTGGTTCCAGTAGTTGTTGTAACCTTGATTCCAGTTCTGGCCCTGGCCTAGAATGAACAGGTGAGGCCTTTGTCACAACTCTCCAGCACAGGACCCAGGCAGTTACTCGGCATAAATTCAAAGTCTACCACTGAGTGTCGTTTAAAATAAAGATTTTGCTGGTACACATGCAGAAGAGCGCTTACCTCCACGGCCCCTTCCGCGTCCTCCGTATCCACGGGCGCCATACTGCTGCTGCTGGTAGACCTCTTTGGGCTGGGCTATTTTAATTTCACACTGGAACACCACACAAGAGCACAAAAAGTATTAATAAAACTGAGACCACCTCTTCCAATTTCACGTTTGCAAAATGTGTGGTATACAATTACCTTGCTTCCACCGACGTTGTGGTATTTCTTCTCCATGACCTTCTTTACGGGAGCCTCTTCTTTATACGTGATAAATACGAATCCCCTCCTCTTTTCTGTCTTTGGATCTTGTGGGAGCTCAATGGTCTCAACCTGAGCAGAGAAACAAACTTTGAAGCAGTCTTATCTTTAGCACTCACTCCCTTAATGACATGACTAAAATCTGCGGAATAACGCACCTCTCCAAAGGTCCCAAAGTACTCCTGGATGACTTCCTTCGAGGTGTCGGGGTTAAGACCTCCCACAAAGATTTTCTTGACTGGGTCCTTCTTCATGGCCATGGCCTTCTTGGGGTCGATCACTCGGCCATCTAATCTGTGCTCCTTCTGTTCAAGAACCTAGGAAACAAAGCAACACAAAAAGGGGGGAAACACATTAGAATTATTTAGACTAGGGCCGAGCAAGATGTCAATATATTGATATTGTGAGATGACTACATATTGCTCTAGAGTTTGGATCGTAATGTTGTTTAGTATGGTTTATTCCTGGCTACATTAGAGTAACATGATGTCATGACAATTCTACAATTTGTCTTTACATTCTTGGTCATTTCATCCAAATTATTGATGCATATTTATCAAAAATCTCATGGTCTATATCGCCCAGCCCTGACTTATAACGGCCAACACACTCACCTTTTCTACGCTGGCTGCATCTTTGAAGAGAATGAACCCAAAGCCCCTTGACCGGCCCGTCTGCTGGTCCATCTTGATGGTGCAGTCTGTCACCTCTCCAAATTTAGTGAAGTAATCTTTAAGATCCTTCTTGCTCGTCTCCCAGCTGAGGCCACCAACAAACATTTTCCTGAGCACAGAGAGACAGAAGGGGACATGTTTAGAATTACAGGCTGCAGGGCTACTCCAACTTTATATATATGGCTGTGGCGGTGGGGGTGGGCAGGAGGGGGGTGCAAATGTACACACTGTTCCAGAACATCTGTTGACACCATGACACAGGGGAGGCGGCTACAGTTGCTGGAGCTGAATGTTATTTTATAGCATTAATTCAATAGTCGAAAATCGCTACGATGCGACCTCGTCAGACATGGCATATCAATAGTTTCTTGTGTTAGATCTGATCCATGCTCAAGCGCCCATCCCCCCTCCGCTCTGCATATGGCGCCAACAAAGGCCGGCTGAACAAAGAAACATGGCAAACCACGAGTGCTTATTGTAAATGTCGTTTCCACCAAATAGTCACATCATAGCATTTTAAACTCACCCGGCATCCTCCTCGCCTTTGCTGGCGTCGATCTGTCCGCCCTCTGTGCCTCCGTTTTGCGAATTCCCGTCGGCGTCGGGCCCTGCGCCCTCTCCTTCCCCCTCTCCCTCTCCCTCTCCCTCTCCGCAGTCATTCACAGCGCTCTCGTCGTTCCCCTCCTCGGTGTGGTCGGCTCCGTTAAAATCATCGTCGACTTCGTGGCCGTTTTCCGATGTTTCCATGTACTGCTGCTCTGTCTCAGACATTTTGCACTATTATACCTAAACCCAAAGAATAAAAAAAGGCATTTCACTACACCACGGTGGTTATACAATCCATCATGCCGTACATGCCTCGCCATTTACATGGTGCCAAATGCATGCATTTCCCACCATTTTGGCCGGCACGGTCGCTTTCCATACATTCACAGGGAGCCGCATTTGTTGCAGAGAGCCAGCAAATGGCAACACGTATTTACACAACGCAGTGACCACTCGGCATGCAAAGTGCACTTCTGGTGGAGCAAAGATTAGAAACAGTCCAACCAGCTGCATCACACTGATAAACCAAGCCTGGACTGTACAACTCAAATTCGCAGTTACGTAATGTAAAGGCCGTGCTGGCCGTACTGTAGGCCTACGGTTTTTAATTGTCCCGGACATCTCAATTGCGTCTACCTGGGAAAAAAACAACGAAATACTGGAGCAATTAAAGTACTTACGTGACAATATAAAGACAAAACCAAGGCTTAAGAAGTAGGAAAACCTGCTTACTGGTCACACAACCGGAGAGCTCTCTTCAAGATGGATTCTCCCACACGACGACAACTCGTGGTTGGTTTTCTAGAACCGGCAGAAAAAAAACGCCATTTCTGCGGAGGCACCATCTCATTGGATGAGCGTAGCTGCCACTCAGGGAACGGACCAATCACACGCGCGTCTCTTTCTTTTCACAGAAGATGTTCACGCCCCTAACACACAGGAAGGAACTCGGAGTACTCTTCTGCGTCTAATGAAAAAGAGTTCGCTGCTCGGCGATTTAAAAAAATACGATGAGTTGTTGCTGTTGCTGTAAGAAATGGACTAGTTCACACTGTTAGTCACTCTGAGGCTGACAAAAAATGTGTTCAAATGTGACAGTAGTCCGGTTCAGGGTAGTTCAAATTCACGGACGGTATGTGAAAAATGTCTAAAATGTGGATCTTGGTGTCTCAGTGTGAATTAATGATGGATAAAGGCACAGACAGCTGCCATCAAGCTTTAAACATGTGCACATGGACACATATAAACGTGACTTTCTTTGACTACTGTAGAGGTTGTGAGGAAACACTGAATATGGGTTGGATAAAACATTAAATAATTACGTCAAATACATTATAAAAAAAAAATAGTTCACTATATTGTTAAGTTTAAATACAGTCCTTTCCTTTATAAAACATTATTTATGTTAGAAGGCATTATTGCTGCAAGGCAGGAGAAACTGAATGACTATGAGTGACTTCCTTTCACTACCATATGTCTGTCAGTGGTTTATGATGTATGATAGTGTAGTTGTGTAATTTGTATTTGTAATGTTTACTTTTTATTTAAGATGAGTTTCTGTGTTAGTTAAAGGAATACTCTACCCACAAGATGACCGTTTGTAAATCAATCATGCCTTGTTACCTTGAATTTGTGAAGAAAACTTTTTGTCCCGCATGCCTCCACAGAAAACAGCAAACATATTGATGTATTTATTGACTGGGACTGTGAAATCTAAGTTTAATTTATCCAGCTGTGTGCTCAGTACTTCCCAAACACACACACATTCACACAAAAAAACTTCAGTACTGGTGTCTGGCTTTGAAGCGAGCATAGATGAGTTTTACTTTCACTTCAGTTTTAAATGGCTTCAGCAAAAATGCAAGTAGGCTACTGAGCATTCAGCTGGATACGTGAGACAATTGGACTACTCTGCAGGAGTTGTGTGTGAGTTTGTAAATGGATGTTTTGATATAGTTCTGCTGTTGTTAAACCGGGTCTCTAATCAATCCATATATCAATATGTTAGCCATTTTCCAAGAAGGCATGCCGTTTTCCTCACAAATTCAAGGTAACACAGCAGGACTCACTGATAAATAAATGGTGATTCTGTGGGTGAAGTATTCCTTTAATGAGAGATTGTAAGTCGATCTAGTGGATGGTGGAGACAGTTTGATAACTGGTGTGTTTTGTTCCGTTTAATAAAGGATAATTCACTTGATTTATCATCCACCCATCTACTACTATCACAGCTTATCCTGTGTGGGTTTTCTATCCGAAAACAAGCAGCCCTCTCTTTACACTTAGGAAGTTAGGAACCACATTCACACAAAGCTATTAAACTGCAGACTGTATAGTCAAATGGCATTTAGAGACGGATTTAAACATCAAAAACACACATAAACTACTATTGCTTTCCTGCATAATCTGTTAGCATATGCAAACTGCCTGAGAAAACTACCGTAATGCTCATTTCACCATCTCTAGTCGTCTGCGTTGTTCACTCCCTGTCTGACAGCCATCTGTCCGTGTAGGCCCTTAAGTCGTGGAGTACTTTGACAGGAATGCATTTTGTGTTTGGAAGCAGTTCCAGAGGAGCAACGAGAAGAAGCTGATCAAAGCAGGTCGAACAGATCATGTTACTGTGCAAGTGTTTGGTCCAATTTAGTAAATGTTATCATCTAAACTCAGGTCATACAATTTATATTAACACAGAACAAATGGTTTATAAAGAGGCCAACTTCAGCACAAACCAAACAAAACAAAAAATAAGTGCTAAAAAGGACATTTTATTACATCATAGTACTGTACAGATGCATTTGTTTAAACATGAACATTGTCAGATTATGTTTTTCTCCCCCTATTTCCCTGTTATCATTCTGCGTCTTCGACATCGCATATCTGAGGCTTATTTGGATCGTTATTGATCAGCCAGTCAGCCAGCCAAATCTATTGAAGACAAATGTACATGATAAGGAGTAAGATGTTTCAGGGACCAACGCTCAACACCAGCAAACAACTCGGTAACAGCAAATACTGAGTGCATAATACTTACACAGGGGTTGTGAGGCTTGTGCTTGCAGAGCGCGGTGAGTCCACGTAGCAGAGTTGGGTTGACATACCTGCTCAGGTATTCTTGGGTGGCTTCTCTTGAGGGAAAGGGCTCGATTACAGCTGCAGAGGAAAAGCATGCTAGTGTTTAATACTACATTTCTATGCAAGCAACAGTCTGTGTGGCTGTGTGTATTACTCACAGTTTGGGAACATGAATTTGATCTCCCTTTCAGCTGCATGGAATGACTCGCTGCCATGGAGTGCGTTTTTAAGGTCGGAAACGCCATATTTTGCTCTAAGGCTGGGGAAAAACACATTGCATTCATATAAATATCTCAGCTTGCGTTGCCATGAGCGCAAACTTTTACCCCTGTATGTTGGGTACAAACACTGAATCATGATACCAAGTCATACACATACAGAACATATTTTGTTGTCAGGGAAATAGTAGTTATTCAAATGTTTCTTAATATACTGAAGGTCTGTTTTATTTGTGCTAGCTTTTGTTTCTAAGCAAACACTTGATGCATTAGCAGGAACTTAGAGCATTAGAGCAATAGGCACAGATCACAGCCCTGGTTTGTGTGTGTAACCTTCAGTTTCCATCAGCCCTTCAAGGCAGTGATTCATTCAAAACGCCCACTATTACATTACATTACACAAAAAGGAACACACAACAAAACAAAACACTGAATCAACACCTTATAAGTTAACAGACTGACCACCCCGGATGAGTTTCTCTGGCCTTGGTGCTGTTGGCAGGCCCCATGAGGGACTTCCAGTGGGCGATGGCGTTGTCACGGGCCAGAGTCATAGCGACGATGGGGCCAGAGCTCATGAAAGCAGTCAGGCTGGGGAAGAAGAGCTTTCCATACTGGTCTGCATAGAAGTCACTGCATTGCTCTGGACTGAGCTGCAGCTTCCGCTTCTGTCACAGAAATTACATATTGCACGCATCAGTGAAATGTGAACTAATAGTACTGGGTTTTTGAGCTCAGTAGTTATGTGAATACCTTATAGTCCAGTCAATGTAACTCAAAGATGGGCTCAACTGAGGAGAAATTGCAATAGTAATGTTTTATACCTTAATACCTTCATGGATGTAGTGGAACATTCTTTTTTAACGTTTCAACATTTTAGAGTTACATGGTTTGGGTGAAATGATGTTAATATTGGAGGGTCTATGTACACCAATCAACATATTTGGTGTCTTTTCTTAAGTTTTTGGTGTCAATCTTCTCAATGAAACACTTTTTAAGAGGATAGTCTGATGTATTGTACTTGTATTTGGGGTACTACTACCCAACAACCATGTGTTTTTTTGCCAAATTGTCCACTTACAGTTTGTACCACACTGCTCCCATGGGTGCATCTAAAGTGGGTATTAATTATTCTGTATATATTTAGTATCTACATGTCATCATTCATTGTAAGTTTGAGAGTTATGTAGCTATTATGTGAGTTATGTGAGCTGACTGGTTCTATTAGCATCTTTACTCTTATTGTCAGCATCCTATTTTTTCATTCACTTAAAACAATTTAATTAAATTTAAATAAACTGCAAAAGCAACATGGAACGCCGTGCCTTGTGATGATGTACCAGAAATTAGACGGGACGGGATAGGAAACACATACAGTGCAATAGTGGAAACCTCTATTTGTTATGGTGAAAAACATTATGGGAAATTGGTGGTGATCATGTTTTATGGGTCTAGTCTATGTGCCATGTCAGAATTTCACTAACTGGTACCAAACAAAGCTGGCAAATTCTAGTGAATTATTATGAATCTCCTGATGATATTTCAACACAATAACCCTTCCCAAGTAGCAGCCAAGTCACAGAGATACACCAACAGTTAAACCAAAGAATGAATAAACCAGTTGGTCTCATTTAAGGTCTCAGTCTGAGTGCTGATACGCATCATGGTTTTCATGTACTGAAAATTAAATTGCATGATAAAGTGCTTTATAACCTGACTTTACTGACTTTGTCTGGATTCAAAAAAGATCATTTAGCATCAAGGGTCCCCCCCAGTTGCACATATACATTGAGAGCAGGTCATATCTGATGGTTATATGTGAAAGAACATCCTAAAAAACTAATGTGTCAACATATATTATGTGAAAATACCATGTTCAAAAGCAGACATGTGCACTTCTTTGTGTGATGCTGTGACACAATGGTCCACATATCGAGCCCTGACTTTCCTCTAAGTATATAATGGTATGCTTTTTATATGTTATTTGGATGTCCCAAGAGGTCACACAAAAAAAAAATGTTTACTCTTGCAAGTTTCCCTCGGTCAAACCACAGATCTTTTTTTTTTATTAAAATAACACTTTTAATAAAGATCCATTAGATGTTTAAGAAGTGGCAATGATATATGCTGAGCTGGGCATTCTTAGCGCTCTCTGGTGGACAAACTACAAAATGGTGTCTGTTTGTTGCCTTAATAAATATCTCTTGCATGTCTGTACTGCCCTTCATTGTCACAAATAAAACATATCTACAAAGAACAATATATCTAAGATAAATCAGTCTTGCTGATGGCTCAGTCAGGCCACTTGTTTCTGCATGGACATCTTAGAAACAAACTTGCGCCTCAGAAATAATCAGCTGGGTCGACCCCTTCCTGACACCATGCCGTTACAACACACCCTGAAGATAACACCCCCTCCACAAACGTCCATGTTACTACGCTTAACGTTACTGCTGTGTTCTCAGTTTAGATGTTAACCAACCTGCAGGATCATGAAGCCGGATTTCAGGATAATGTCCTCTATCTCCTCAGCTGTGTGGATGGCATCTGGTTTAATAAGGGCCAGAGTTTTTTCCACATATATGCGATGATATGAAGTTTGGTCCATCTTCTTCCGCGTGCTAGACAAGCACCAGGAGCCTTTAGCTAATGAAGTTACGATACTTTCCGTCAGTCCTGTCGACTAAAGTCTAACTTTATGCCGTAATTGGCTTTACATTAGTAAGAGTGGGGTTATAATTAACATTAAATATAGCTGGTGAGTTTATTAAGTATTTTTAAAATGCCCAAAAGCGGTTAATTGCCCGTTTAAACCACTTGCCTTCGGTCTGGACTTCTGTTTAGGTTGCTAGGATACCATTACAACTCTACGGCAAGCCGAGCAGGTCAAGTGGCACAAGATACGACAGGCCTTTCACACTGCATTCTCTTGACTCTGGACGAACATAAGGACACTTTTCACACCACACACGCCCTTTTAACTTTAGCCCAGGACTCTACAATTCGCACCACACTTCTGTTGGCCCTGGGTTTAATGTCAGGTCAAACTCATTGAGAAATTCTGTCGTTTACCTGGCCCTGTTTTACACTTGAAACTTTCAGCACTGGGTTCGGTTCAGTTCATTTGCCGGAGACTACCCTGCAAACTTGGGACTACCCTGCTCCAGACCAGGACCAGCAAGACTAGGCTACTGTCAGGATTGTGCTCATGTGGACACCCCAGGCCAACAGCTCCATCTAGGGGTATTGTGAAAAGCTCTTTAAAGACACCGAGTCTGCTTTAGCCTTGTCTAAAATGAATGACATTAATTCAGTCAAATTATCCTCACTCCATATTTTAGTATAT